TGCTCACCTGACTTGAAGGAGCTCAGGTCCTCTATTTCGTCGCAACACTCCTCTACTACCCGGTAATCAAGGGATTCAACGGAGGGCTCATCGTCATAAGGGTAGTATTCATCGTCCAAAGGTTTCATCATAACAACTAGCTAAGGCCCTAAGGGGATTACCTTGGATCTAAGGGTGATTCTCCACTAACACTAGATCAAGGCCCTAGGAAAGCAAAGTATGCAATAAATCGGAAGAAAGTGTGATGAACTGACCTTTGAAGATATGAAGTTTTGAGGAACACTCGAACAGTCTTTATCTCTCTAGAAAATTTGGCAGCACTTCGTTATCTCAAGAATGCAATGGGGAGCCTCTTCGGAGGGAGGGGGTATTTATAGACCCCCCCAACGGTCATTACACGTGGCATCCATCCATTGGCCACGTGAGCGGCCACCACCCCACTGGCCCATTGGGCTGGCACCAATTCAAAGGACGGGTCAGACCCACTTCCATCAGTACCAGCCCATCACCAACGTGACAATAATCAACGTCCACAACGGCCACACTAGGGAAGCTCGTCTACATCGAACTCAACACAAAGATGACTTCAAAAGGGTAGGTCACACCACAAGGTGTGCCCATATCGGCCCAAACAAGAATACCAATAGCATGTCCCTTTCAACAGCCACAACAGCAAAGCAAAAAGCAACCCCACAGCCATCGACCTTGTATAAAACCCTGATGATAATTTCTTGAAAGCGACATGCGTCCAAGGGTTCTCCCACAGGGTTACCTTGGTCAGGAAATCGCCAAGGAGTTGGATTCAGGGGAATACAAGAATCCCGCTTCGGCCTAGGGGAATCCTTTACTCCTTCACCCCTCGCTTACTCTTCGGCCTGAAGCAGTGGGGGACCGGGGGACTACACCGGCCTTTGGAAATCAAGAGGACAAAATCAAAGAAATCCAAAAATATACTAAGTCCACAACTACAACATCAGATCATATATGCACCACAGCGTCCATAACCTTGTGGTGCACCATCGGCCGCAGCTAAGTCAGCAAACAAAGAATTCCCTCCGAAGATGCAACACCTAAGATCACAGGCACTCAACGGCTTTGAGGCCGCATACTCCACTCTCGGCCAGGAATTAAAACAGGAACTCAACATCCTCAGATCATCGTCGTCCACAAGACCAGGATATGCGCTACCCTAGGGATGGCAATGGGTCAGGGCAGGGCAGGTAGTTCAAAACCCAGACCCGCCCCATGCCTCCAACCAGTAGATCCGACCTGCCCCGCGACCCGCTACGGGTCAAGACATGGCACCCCGCGACCTGCCCTGTGCGGGGCAAATCCGCCCCGAACCGACCCACATGAGCTATAGTATGTAACTTTTTTTGAAGTTATTTAAAGCTAAAAACTTGATGTCAATAATTTTGCCATGTAGTTCGATAAGCAAAACGATAGTCTCAAACAAAACATTCAAACAATGAAAGTTTGACAACCCAAAGCTTCAAAAGTAAAACAACTATGGCAAAATGGTTCAGTAGTTTCCAACAACAAAAGTTGCAAAATTGCAAAAATCATCTGGCAAAGCTCCTTGTTTTAATCCAGCTGCTTTTCTTCACGGATCAACATTCAACATTCCCATGATTGATCCTACAAAAACAGACATAAAATTTTTAGACAAGCTAATAAGGTAATCATTAATTTTACTCTATGAAGCCATGTAATTAAGTAATTAATAAACAAAAGAGTAACTAGTTATAGTGAACTTACTTGCCCTTCATCATTATTGCCATCTGAGTCATAAAATAGCGATGATAGTGATCCATTTCCTTTTTCTGATATAACAAACAATTCAAAGTAATTAACATAAAGTATCCAAAAATTAATCACTAAGCATTAAGTAAATCAATTACCATTTAAATCAGTGAGAATCCAACTTTGTGCACACATTAGAGCCTCAACAGTTTCTTCCTTAAGTCTGCTGCGATGAGGACCAATCAACTGTCTGCTTGTGCTAAACGTAGACTCAGAAGCAACTGTAGAAAGAGGGACAGCCAAAATATCTCTTGCAAGTTGACTTAAAATAGGGTACTTGCTCTTGTTTGACTTCCACCAACTCAAAACATCAAAATCAGTCAAGCGGGGCAGAATATCATCCTCTAAGTACAGATCAAGTTCTGACCTTGTAGTTTTTCTTTTTCTTTGAGAGGCATAAAATCAAAATCACACAAAGAAATACTTTCAACTCCATTGCCCTCTGTTTGAGACACATTAGTACTTTTTGTGCTCTCTTGCTCTTCATATTGTTTAACCAACTCACGACAATAACCAACAACTTTATCAACTTCAAATCCAGAACTAATAGGATAAATCTTCCCAAAGTAGTACTCTAGCATCAACAACTTATACCTAGGATCCAAAACAGCTGCAACACCCATAATCCCATGCACAACTGACCAATACTTATCAAACTTTGAAGTCATCTTAGAAGCCATGAGCTGCACAGTTGGTATACCGCAAGCAATCCACTGATTTAAAGCAAGTTTGATCTCACAAACAGTTGGGAAAACACATTTGCAGTAGGATATGAAGTTCCAGAAAAAAGTCCAGTTGCACTGTAAAACAATTTCAGCCTACTGCAAATTTCTTTGCACAAACTCCACTCATTTTCACTAGGCAGCGATTTATATTTCTGATCACGATTCTTTAAGCGAGAAAAGACATCTTTGTATTCCAAAGCAACGTCTAACATTAAGTAAGTTGAGTTCCAACGCGTCTTACAGTCAAGAGTGAGCTTTTTACCTAGTGATATGCGAAGCTGACGAGCTGTATCCTCAAATTTCTCCCATCTCTTTGGTGTCCCCTTCCAATAAGAGACACTGTCTCTGACTTTCTCAATTGCTCCATGAATGGTATCCAACCCATGTTTCACGACCAGGTTCACTATGTGTGCACAACAACGCATATGGAGTAGGTTTCCACCAAGCAGTAGAGAATCTGAAGAAAGCTTTCCTTTTATCAAGTCAAGCATAGCATCATTGGTAGAACAATTATCCACGGTGATAGTGGATAATTTGTTGTCTATGTTCCAGTCCAGTAAGCAAGTGTAAAGAGCTTCAGAAAGAACTTCAGCGGTATGTGGACTTGGCACATACATAAACCTAAAAGTAAATTCATAATATATATGTTGAGATTATTTAAATAATAATTGTATTTATCATTTAAAGATCTTAAATAGTGCTGCCAGATTTTTATATTTTACTTCTTAAATAGTGCTGCCAGCTTTCCCTTGTTTGATTGGTATAATTTTCATTCTTATTCATTCTCAAATAGGAATATATCATCCTAAAATGTTGCTAATCAAATAGGAATATATCATCCTCAGAACTGAAACTAACTCAAATAGTGATTTTGCCAGATATCATCCTCAAATGTTGTATATAGTGCTGCAATTGAGATTATTTCAATTGATGGCAACACTGTTTGTAACAATTAAAATTCAGATCTTTATTTCTTTCTAACATTCAAATGAGAATGAAAATTATACCAATCAAACATAATCTAACTCAAAAAAACATTTTCTTAAATCAAAACTAATAAGCAGTAAGTACTCCATACTAAACATAATTCATGGACTTATGATCTAAAGGTATAGAGTAAGAAAAGAATATAACAAGAATTCTGCAACATACAAAATGAAAAGAATAGTTTTTAATGAATTTCAGATTATTAAAAAGAGTATTGAACGAAAAAAAGTAATCATATAAAAAAAAGGACAATAACCTGATCACTCGGCTTTGCAACCTCCAACTGTTGTCAATATAGTGTGCGGTAACAACCATAAAGCCTTTTTGCTGAAAATCCGATGTCCACATATCTGTTGTTACAGCTACTCTCCCAACATTCTTTTCAAGGATGCCCATCATGGTCTTCTTTTCTATCTCATATATATTGAAGCAGTCCTTCTTAATTGTATTCCTACTGACCATTTTAAAGCAAGGGTTTAAACTGCTCACAAAATTCCTGAAGCCAGTATGTTCAACCATCTTTAGAGGATAGCCATGCATTATAATCATCCTTGCAAGCTCCAAACGAGAGAGTTCTTGATCAAAGTTGAACGGAGAGAGTTCAAACTTATTCTTGGAGCTGGCTTGCAAAAGTTGTTGTCTTATATCCGTTGTCTTTCTTTTGTTGCATCTTTGGTAGTGCTTGTGCAAGTGACTGGTACCTTTCTTTGGATCACCCAACAAAAGTGATTTGCAGTACTTGCACCTTGCTTTGAGCTTTTCATCAATTGTCTCTCTCAAATAGTGCTGCCAGATTTTTGATTTTACTTTTGCCACTTCAGTTCCAGTTTCTTCTTCAGTTCCAGCTTCTGCTACCAAACCTTCACCATCAACGTTCACCTCTAATGGCATGTCAACAACAGGTACACGACTTCCATCAACAACCAAGTTAGGCGATGAATTTGGTAGCTCAACTTGTGACACATCAGTGCTTGGAGTGGTGGGTAATGGGTTTGTTTCAACTTCCATTGATTAGAAGTCTACAAAATAAGAGAAATTTAAATCATGTTATGTTCTAAAAAGGAGCTGTTACATAAATATTTTTAATCAAACAACAATCTGGAGACTGTTAATTTGCAGTTTAGGACCACCATTATCCCAAACTATGATTGCTAGTGATGGAGTATTAACTCCTAGAGAGAAGGGAGAGCTAGAGAGATAAAGTGATATATATAATGAATTTCTAACCCTTTACATGACTCCCTTAGGGAGTATTTATAGGAGAAAAGCGGGTTGGGCTTCCAGGCTTGGGCCTGGAAGGCCCATTTACAATAAAAGGCCAATAAATGGCTAACAAATGGTATTTAATCTATTCTAACGGGTATACATGAATAAAATGGAGTGTACAACGAAATAAATGCTATCTACTGAGCGTGTGTGGGCCGCTGTCCGGGTCCAATAGTCGTGAGACCCGGGGGTCCGAGTCTATATACTCTATCAGGAGTCCCCCACTCTCTGAGTCGAGAGTATTCGAGGCGAAAGAGAGTAGAATTGTGTGCTGATCTTTCGTCGTCTGGTGAGTAAACTTCATGAACAAAAATTTGAAATTCTGCTTCTTTGGTTAACGGAGGCGCTAAGTCCCCCGCTCTCCCAGTCCCCCACTCCTTGAGGCGAGTGTAATGAGGTGAAGAGGAGTAGAGTAATGCGTGTCGGATGATGTCTTCAACAGGGGGCCGAGGGTTGACACCTTTTGATCCACGATGGGGAGATGCCTCGTTAAAAACCTCATTAGGAAAAACCCTGTGGGAAAAAATCCTAATGAGGGAAAAAGAGTACACCGGATGCCCCCAAAATGAAACAAAAGGTGCGAGCCCTTCGGCCTGGAGATGGAGCTGCAGCGGTGCCCGTCTGCTGGATGGTCGAGGCCGATCTCCAGATGTGGGTAGCTCATCATGATCAGTAGTCCTAGTCATCAAATAAAGATGACTAAGGGATGGGTCGAGCGACCGTCCACAATATGATGTCTGGTTCATCAAATAAAGATGACCAGAACGTAAGGCCGATGGGCCGAGAGGCCTGTACGAGAGCTCCACGTTGTCAAATAAAGACGACGAGGCGATGGTGCGGCCGAGGGGCCTGCATAAGAGCTCCACGTCGTCAAATAAAGACGACGGGGCGATGGTGCGGCCGAGGGGCCTGCATAAGAGCTCCACGTCGTCAAATAAAGACGACGGGGCGATGGTGCAGCCGAGGGGCCTGCATAAGAGCTCCACGTCGTCAAATAAAGACGACGGGGCGATGGTGCGGCCGAGGGGCCTGCATAAGAGCTCCACGTCGTCAAATAAAGACGACGGGGCGATGGTGCGGCCGAGGGGCCTGCATAAGAGCTCCACGTCGTCAAATAAAGACGACGGGGCGATGGTACGGCCGAGGGGCCTGCATAAGAGCTCCACGTCGTCAAATAAAGACGACGGGGCGATGGTGCAGCCGAGGGGCCTGCATAAGAGCTCCACGTCGTCAAATAAAGACGACGGGGCGATGGTGTGGCCGAGGGGCCTGCATAAGAGCTCCACGTCGTCAAATAAAGACGACGGGGCGATGGTGCGGCCGAGGGGCCTGCATAAGAGCTCCACGTCGCCAAATAAAGACGACGGGGCGATGGTACGGCCGAGGGGCCTACATGAGAGCCCCACATCATCAAATAAAGATGACGGGGTGATGTATGGCTCAGAGGCCTATATGCGAGCGCCGTGTCATCAAATAAAGATGACGGAGCGAGATATGACCGATGGTCCTGTAAATGAGCTTCACGTCATCAAATAAAGATGACGAGGCGATATATGCCCGATGGGTCTGCAACTGAGCTTCGCGTCATCAAATAAAGATGACGGAGCAAGATGTGGCTCAGAGGCCTATAAATGAGTTCCTCGTCATCAAATAAAGATGACAGAACGATATAAGGCCGATGGTACTGTAGATGAGCTCTTCGTCATTAAATAAAGATGACAGAGCGATATATGGCCGATGGGCCTACAAATGAGCTCTTCACCATCAAATAAAGATGACAGAGCGATATATGGCCGATGGTCCTGTAGATGAGCTCTTCGTCATTAAATAAAGATGACAGAGCGATATATGGCCGATGGGCCTACAAATGAGCTCTTCATCATCAAATAAAGATGAGAGAGCGATATATGGCCGACGGGCCTACAAATGAGCTTCGCGTCATCAAATAAAGATGACGGAGCGATATATGGCTGAACTCTGGGCTCCTTTAGCCTTTCGTCCGGAGACCGCAAGATGTTCGCTATATCTGAATAGGGGGACGAGGCGGTGGACGCATGTCTGAATATGAGGACGACGACGCTGATGAGTCGGTCCGAATATGAGGACGACAGCGCTGACGAACCGGTCCGAATATGGAGACGATGGCGCTGGTGAGCCGGTCCGAATATGGAGACGATGGCGCTGGTGAGCCGGTCCGAATATGGGGACAAGTCGATGATAAGCCATGTGTCATGTGAAGGCGACGGTCACCATCCAGGAAGGGAATGGCGAGCCTGGTTGCTAGATAAGGACTTCGGCGCTGGGGCCGGTCTAAATGTGAGGACGAGGCGATGATAAGCCATGCGTCGTATGAAGGCGACGGTCACCATCCAGGAAGGGAATGGTGAGCCTGGTCGCTAGATAAGGACTTCGGCACTGGGCCGGTCTAAATGTGAGGACGAGGCGATGATGAGCCGTGCGTCATATAGGGGCGACGGTTGCCGTCCGGGAAGGGATGGCGAGCCCAATCGCTATAACAAGACTTCGGCGCTGGGAGCCGGTCTTGAGATAAATAATCACGTCGCGGCCGAGAGGCTGATCGCGATGTGCGGATGACAATGATGACGAGACAGTCCGAAATATGATGACGAGGCGATGATGGAGCCGATCGTCATATAGAGGCGATAGTCACCATCCAGGAGGGGATGGCGAGCCTGATCGCTAGCCCAACACACTCGGCGCTGATGAAGCCGATGTTGGGATAGGGTGTGACGTCGTGGCCGAGGGGCCGATCGTGATGCGAGGTCGTCAGCACTACGAGGCTGATCCAAAAGTCCAAGCAGCGGTCGCCATCCGATGAAGGAATGACTGAGACCGGTCTTGGGGATAGATAATCACGCCGAGGCCGAGGGGCCGATCGTGATGTGCGGACGGAGATGATGAGCCGATCCGATAATATGATGACGAGGCAAGAATGAAGCCAATCGTCATATAAGGGTGATGGTCACCATCCAGGAAGGGATGGCGAGCCCGATCGCTAGCTCAAGACTCTCGGCGCTGAGAAAGCCGGTCTTGAGATAGATAGTCACGCCGAGGCCGAGGGGCCAGTCGTGATGCGCGGATGGCGATGAAAAGAGCCAATCCGAAATATGATGACGGGGAAATGATGAGCCGACCGTCATATAGAGGCTATGGTCACCATCCATGAAGGGATGGTGAGCCCAGTCGCTAGCTCAAGATCGCGTTGAGACCGAGGGGTCTGCTGCGATGTGAGCATGACGGCGTTGATGAGCCGTTCCAATAAATGATGACGAGGCCATGATGGGCCAATCGTCATATAGAGGCAACGGTCACCATCCAGGAAGGGATGGTGAGCCCGATCGCCAGCTCAAGACTCTCGGCACTGAGGAAGCCGGTCTTGAGATAGATAATCACGCCGAGGCCGAGGGGCCGGGCATGATGTGAGGACGACGGCGATGAGGGGCCGGTCCAAAAATCCATGCAACGGTCGTCACTCGGTAAAGGAATGACTAAGACCGGTCTCGAGATAAATAATCACGTCGAGGCCGAGGGGGGCGGTCATGATATGAGGACGAAGGCACTGAGGGGCCGGTCCGAAGATCCATGCAACGGTCGCCATCCGGGAAGGGATTACTAAGACCGGTCTCGAGATAAATAATCACGTCGAGGCCGAGGGGGTCGATCGTGATATGAGGACGACGACGATGAGGAGTCGGTCCAAATAATGATGACGAAGCGATGGTGAAGCCGATCGTCATATAGAGGCGATGGTCACCATCCAGGAAGAGATGATGAGCCCGATCGCCAGCTCAAGACTCTCGGCGCTGAGGAAGCCGGTCTTGAGATAGATGATCACGCCGAGACCGAGGGGCCGGCCGTGATGTGAGGACAACGGTGATGAGGAGTCGGTCCTATAATATGATGACGAGGCGCTGATGAAGCCGATCGTCATATAAAGGCGATGGTCACCATCCGGGAAGGGATGACGAGCCCGATCGCTAGCTCAAGACTCGCGGCGCTGAGGAAGCCGGTCTTGAGATAGATAATCACGCAGAGGCCGAGGGGGTCAGTCGTGATATGAGGACGACGGCGACGAGGAGCCGGTCCTATAATATGATGACGAGGCACTGATGAAGCCTATCGTCATATAAAGGCGATGGTCACCATCCGGGAAGGGATGGCTAGCCCGATCGCTGGCTCAAGACTCGCGGCGCTGAGGAAGCCGGTCTTGAGATAGATGATCACGCCGAGGCCGAGGGGCCGGCCGTGATGTGAGGACAACGGCGATGAGGAGCCGGTCCTATAATATGATGACGAGGCGCTGATGAAGCCGATCGTCATATAAAGGCGATGGTCACCATCCGGGAAGGGATGGCGAGCCCGATCACTAGCTCAAGACTCGCGGCGCTGAGGAAGCCGGTCTTGAGATAGATAATCACGCCGAGGCCGAGGGGGTCGGTCGTGATATGAGGACGACGGCGATGAGGAGCCGGTCCTATAATATGATGACGAGGCGCTGATGAAGCTGATCATCATATAAAGGCGATGGTCACCATCCGGGAAGGGATGGCGAGCCCGATCGCTAGCTCAAGACTCGCGGCGCTGAGGAAGCCGGTCTTGAGATAGATAATCACGCCGAGGCCGAGGGGGTCGGTCGTGATATGAGGACGACGGCGATGAGGAGCCGGTCCTATAATATGATGACGAGGCACTGATGAAGCCGATCGTCATATAAAGGCGATGGTCACCATCCGGGAAGGGATGGCGAGCCCGATCGCTAGCTCAAGACTCGCGGCGCTGAGGAAGCCGGTCTTAAGATGATGGACGGCGCTGGGCGCTCGTCTGAGAATGAGGGACGGCGCTGGGCGCTCGTCTGAGATGATGGACGGCGCTGGGCGCTCGTCTGAGATGATGGACGGCGCTGGGCGCTCGTCTGAGATGAGGGACGGCGCTGGGCGCTCGTCTGAGATGAGGGACGGCGCTGGGCGCTCGTCTGAAAATGAGGGACGGCGCTGGGCGCTCATCTAAGAATGAAGGACGGCGCAGGGCGCTCGTTTAAAAATGAGGGACGGCGCTGGGCGCTCGTCTACAAATGGAGGACGGCGCTGGGCGCTCGTCTAAGATGAGGGACGGCGCTGGGCGCTCGTCTAAGAATGAAGGACGGCGCAGGGCGTTCATCTAAAAATGAGGGACGGCGCTGGGCGCTCGTCTACAAATGGAGGACGGCGCGGGGCGCTCGTCTAAGATGAGGGACGGCGCTGGGCGCTCGTCTAAGATGAGGGACGGCGCTGGGCGCTCGTCTAAGATGAGGGACGGCGCTGGGCGCTCGTCTGAAAATGATGGACGGCGCTGGGCGCTCGTCTAAAAAATGAAGGACGGCGTTGGGCGCTCGTCTGAAAATGAGGGACGGCGTTGGGCGCTCGTCTACAAATGGAGGACGGCGCTGGACGCTCGTCTAAGATGATGGACGGCGCTGGGCGCTCGTCTGAGATGATGGACGGCGCTGGGCGCTCGTCTGAGATGATGGACGACGCTGGGCGGTCGTCTGAGATGAGGGACGGCGCTGGGCTCGTCTGAGATGAGGGACGGCGCTGGGCGCTCGTCTGAAAATGAGGGACGGCGCTGGGCGCTCGTCTAAGAATGAAGGACGGCGCAGGGCGCTCGTCTAAAAATGAGGGACGGCGCTGGGCGCTCGTCTACAAATGGAGGACGACGCTGGGCGCTCGTCTAAGATGAGGGACGGTGCTGGGCGCTCGTCTAATATGAGGGACGGCGCTGGGCGCTCGTCTAAGATGAGGGACGGCGCTGGGCGCTCGTCTAAGATGAGGGACGCCGCTGGGCGCTCGTCTAATCCGCATGTATGGTCTTGCTTCGTCCATAATGCGTAGTATTTGCCTGATATGTACTTAGTATTGTTGTGGGGATTTCATTTTTTGTTGCTCGAGGCCGGCGAGTGCGCGCGGTCCTCGGCTTCCCTCTTTTATTTTTTCTTTTTCCTTTTCTCTTTTGTTTTTGTTTTTGTTTATTTCCGGTTCCGTTCCCTATTTCGGGGAGTATCCTTCTTTCAGGCTTCGGTCGAAGGGTGTGCTCGTCCTTCGGCCGGTTCGGACTTCGTTTATAACGTCCGTGATCTCAGGGGGGTCCCGTCGCCTATTTATGACGCGGGCTAGACTTTTGGTTGGTTTCCAACGGCTGCCGTTGCCCAACCCTGAGTGGGGGGATTTTGCCACCTCGGCCATGATTTCAGGCCTGTCGTCCTGCGATCTGGCGCGTGGACGACGCGGTGAACTTCCCATTTCAAGACGCGGGCCGTTTGCGGGCCCCTCGTCCTGGGGACATCGTCGGCCATACCT